TGACCATTTTGCCCTTATGAATGACTTGCTTTGAAAAATTGCAGTTTAAGGCTTGGAATTGGATGGAAGCAAACTTGAGGATCCAGGGTGATTCCTTGAGAAATGAGAGGGAAAATTTTGGGGTGCAACAGGCATGATGCAGTACTTCCTTTGGAGATACATTTACAGTCAGTTAGTATTCAAAGGCAATTTGAAATTTCCAATAAATATTATTAGGGGATGATGTTCGATATGTTAGCTAGTTTATATGAAGAAAGATTGACTGCTTTAGATGTTTTAATTAGACAGACATATCTAATGGCTAAAGTATATAATAAAAAGGTTAAATCAAAAGCCTTTATCCTAGGGGACTTAGTGTGGAAATTCATCTTACCTATGGACAAGAAGGATTGAACCCTGGGTAAATAGTCCCTGAATTAGGAATGACCTTTTTGAATTTTACAAGCATTTACTAATAACGCTTATGAGGTTGAAAAATGGACCCTTGAAGGTCAAATCCTACAAATCAATGGTAAACATTAAAAAAATATCGACCTATGCTACAGGAAATAAAGATCAATGAAAAATAAAACATGCGCCTGAGAAATAAAAAGACCTAAAGAATTCAGCCTGAATGTTGAAATGCCACGGGGGGCATATTTAAGGTTACAAAAAAATTGTATGGAAAAAAGGAAACGAAAAGAAAATAATCAAGACAGTAATGCAAAGTCTAAAAAGGCAAAGAGGCCTTCATCTTTTCATATTGATCCTTTACAGCATTGAGTCGACGATTAACTAATGAAATAATGAAGGTGAAACTTTTAAGTTTTGCATCCAAGTCCTTGACCCTTTCAAAGTGTTGGACCCTAATCAGAGCTTCAACATCCAATGCTTGTAGATTAGTAGTGCAGATCTCAGTCTGACGACTTTCAACCTTTTTCACTTTGGCCAACAACTCTTCTAGTTGTTGTTTCCACTTTAGGATATATGCAACATTAGATTTAAAATCTTGCTTCTCTTGTTCAAGGCCCTTCTCTAATTCCTCAACCTTGGTCATAGACTTGTTGTCCAAATCCCCCTCCTGCGATCGAACTTGTTGTTTAGTTTGCATTTTGATCGATACATCATTCTTTCTGGCAATATCAACAATGATCTGGACAAGGGGAGGTGTGAATTCCACCTTAAAGCTAATAATGGTGGGAGGAGCGGTAAGAGGGTAAACCTTTTTTCAGCAAATCCTTGACCCCATAATAAAACATGGAACTTGTCTCCATCATTGTTTACCTTTTGCGCCTGCTTGAAGGAGAAGGCATATGTCAGATATTGATATAATGTTAAAACTGGTTCGAATTCTTTACCATGTATTTATTCCACCAAGTATAGAACTCTTTCGTACACTAGAAAATGGTTAAAAATAAAAAGGAGTAAGGATAAGATGATCGACAGTGTGGCACTCTAAGCAGTCAACACATTCATTTTCAGAGTTGTCGATCTCAAGCAAAGATCATTTTTCTATCGAAAAACATTTGGGCAGAATCTGAAAAGGTCCAAATTGGCGAAACACCAAATTGGGTTGGTAGCATAGTATTTTCACACCATCTTTGGGAACCCCGAGTCTAGTTATGATTAGCTTTGTAATGAGTAAAGCTTCCCGAATCTCCCTAGATTCAACTTCTTGGTTAGGGTCAGACATAGGAAATTCTCTATTGAACCACTCAGGTCCATGATTTCGTTTAGTAAAAGGAGCCATAGCTGGTGAGAACTTGTAGCGTTTCATAATCAAGAAGTACTTCGAAATAGCAGTTTGCATCAAAAGAGTCGAGTTATTTGGATTCATCAAAGCTAAGTGAGTACCTTCGATGTTTCTGTTCCTAATGGTATCATCAATGTCATACAGTTTTTTTGACTACCAAAACATGTTCGAATGTAGCATTTAGCCAAAGTTGAAACAGCCAGAAAGGTCTAACAAGTAGGTAGTTGGCATTGAGTTTCAATGTTTCAATGTTTCAATGCTCAATACACCCTTTCCTAGTGATTCATTAAGAGAATCTAGAATTAACTAGCTCAAATAGATATGTCTACCCTCATGTAATTGATTGGCTAGAGCAATGAATCTCTTGGAAACTTTAAAGGACCTACAACAAAAGACACATCTCGACAACCATAATGCCAAAAAATAAATATGTTTCATGTCATAGACTCTGTTAGTGGTTTTGTCGTGATAACGTTCCATATATTTCCCAAAGCTACCATAATCTTTGTCGAAGTCAATTGTGTTTTCATCATTGTCCGTAGGGTAAAAAATTTCACTTGTTGGATGAAGGCCAGTAATGACCACTATATAAAAAAAGGGTATGGTGAACATTCCACAAGGAAATTGTAAAGTGTTATTCGAACCCTTCCAGAAGTATAGGGAAGCGACCAACATGTTTTAGCAATAAGGGGGACCAACCCTTGATAGCTAGATCAGGTTAAAGATCCCCTTATCTTTCCAGGTTTAGCCCATGTCTTTTTCGACTCTATCTAACCAAGAGATATAATCGACATTGACCAAAGGGGAATAATAGAAGACTCTAGTGGTACGAAACAGATAAGCTAAGTCCATGTGTTTCTTTTCACTAACATTAGGTTTAGTACGGTGGTACGCATAAAAGAATTCTTTAATCCTATCAAATTCTCTAGAAGGATTGGGGATTGGACCCGTGAGAGCATGGACATTATCAACAATGATAAAAGGAAGAAGTACCTACAATTTGAAGAATCTGAGTTTTTCTTCCTTCAATGGTGGTTCAGGAACACATTCCTGATTTCCAACCACCATAGGAGCACTGAGCTTGATTACCATAAGAAGAGTCTCTTTAGATTTCTTATGGTTCTTGGTTTTCAAGGATGAAACTATTGTTGAAGTTGATAGGTCCAAAGTTAGAAAGTTTTTCGGGATGTTTTGAGCTTACAGGTTGTGAAAATGAAGAAGACGAAAAATGAAGCAAGAAAGAGTATCTGTAATCAAAACAAAACTCTTCAGTTTTTGCAATTTAGACAGTTTGCGCCAAGTTTTAAGGTATACGACGAGCGCTTGTTGAGTGAAATTAAGCAACTTAATTTTGTGGGCCACATTGTCCTAGAAAGTTGGAGCTCGCAAATAGGGTAGTGGTGACAACATATTTTCAAAATGACAGTTGATGGGAATGTCATGATGACAATGACGTCAGTGCAGTACATTAAATAGTAGGCATGAAAGATAAAAAATGTCTTCATCTCCATCTAGTCGAAAGAGATATTTTGGGGACAATTTGTTAGCTGCAATTTTTTACAGGCCTTAAATTCCAGCTTAGCAAGCAAATGAGAAGACGAGGAAACTTTTGATGAAGATTTTGGTGATGTTCAAGACTGTGGTCGACGCACATGCTGACAACATTTCAACATGAAAGTAGCGAGCTAAGGTGTCAAAATCTAACCGAGAGAAAGAAGTATGGACTTAATATTTTTTCAATTCAGTTGAAATGTACAAACGTGGTTGAGTAACCCATCTTTTTCCTTATCTGCATAAGAAAGACGCGTGGAAGCAGTTTTCAAAGAGACATGCAATGAAGGGAGAACGTGGCACTCAATGGAGAAAAGTCCGCCTTTAATAGTTATTTGTATTTCATTATAAATAGTAGTTCCAATAATAAAATTAAGGTTGTCAAAGTTACCATCAAACTCACAAAACCCAGAGTACCAAGCGAAGAGAGAAACGAGTTCCAAGAGTGTAATATACATTTGATCACCAATTTACATTTATGCAAAGTTTTACATTCAAATTTACTTTACATTTTTGTGTTCTTCATTGTCGAACTCTTTACATTATCGATCAAAGTTTCACTTTAACTTGCTTTTATTTTCACAACTTGATTTCGATCACTATCAAAATCGCTCACACTTTTACTATCTACACCTTATTTGAAAAACTTCACGCATATTATTGAGACTCCCTAGTCGGTCTCACAAGTAACTTTTACCAAGATACTATAAGTGTTTACCAAATTTCAAAGTAAACAGCGACATATTCAAAACTATGGAGTCGTGGAAAAAACTAAAACAGACCGAATTAGAGGTGCAATTTTTTTAATGAGATCTAAAATGTCATTTATATAGAGATAAATTAATAATTATTTTAATTCTTTATATAAAATCAAAAAAATTAAATATAATTAACCATCATTTTTTAATAAATAAAAAAATAGTTTTTTTCTTATAATTAAGGTTGAAGTACTACTATATTAGTAACAAGTACCTGAAGTATACTATTCACTTGAACACATTATTTAGTTTTCTACCCTATAAAAGTGTTTTCTTTGAATTTTCACTTGAACACTTTATTTTATAAGATAGAGTTAGTAGTTTTCGTTTTAGCTCTTCCCCATAGGAAGAAAACAAAATACAAACACTATAGATTTATTAGTCAAAACAATAAATAAAAGTAGATACATTTCATATCTTGATTTCGTCATTTCACACACACGTATATGAAATTGTCATTGTAACCGCGTTTATTGAATTATTGAAAATTCTTTCTAACTACGGTTTCAAATGCCGTTGGTGAAAATACTATTAGAAATGAATGAAACTCCCCAAAACGACGTCGTTTGACATTCACACACCTTATACTACTTCTCATTACGACCAAGCTCCGTACAACGTTGGACAGTGTTTTTATACTTTCTCTCTCTCTGAAATCCAACTCACAAGATTAAAAAGTTTCGATTTTTCAGTATATAACTCTGGAATAGTATAAAGGGTTTCAATTTCACAAAGTTCTAAGATACCCCAGAACAAAATTTGTCCCCACTACTGTGTTTCCCTCTGTTACCTTTTTCACTTGTTTTATTGTTTTTGTTTTTTCTTGTTTGGATTCTTTGTTACAAAACAAAACAAACCCAAAATAAGAAAGTGAAAAAAAATTGTGTTTTTGCTTCTACTTTGTTTGGTGATGGTGTTTTGTTAGAGGCTCTTTTGTGTGTGTGTGTTGTTTGTTAGAAATGGAGGATTCAGCTAAGCTGAGGTTGGTGAGGTGTCCCAAATGTCAAAATGTTCTTCATGAGCAACCTAGTTATTCTGTTTACCAATGTGGTGGTTGTGGAACTATTCTTAGAGGTACCCTTTTTCTTTTTTATTTGTTATTGTTCTATCTTTATGAAATTTAGATAAAGTTGTTGTTTGACTTTTACTTGATATGTATCTTTAAGAAATGTTTGTTTTTTATGAGGTATGATTATGGTTTAAGAATTTCCTTTTTCACTTTGTTTACTTTTGTGTTTGTTTTTGGTTTTTGGTTGATTGGTTAGTTAGGATGTTTTGGATTATTTAGGTTAATGGATGAAAGCATGAAAAAGGGTGTGGGAGATTCTGGTGTTTTGTTGAAGTTTTTGGTTTTTGAATATTGTTTTTGATTGCAGGGAAGGTTAGTAATGGTAATGGTAATGGAAATGGAAATGGTAGTTTGTGGGAGGGTTCAGATGAGGGACAGGGTGGAGGAGTTTTCGGTAAATCGGGAAATTCTTTTAGGAAAGATGTAGGCTTTTTGAGTGATGGTTCAGATGTTGATGTTAAGTCCAACGGTGGGTTCTCGAGGGAGGATCGAAGAGATTCAGAGAGATCGAATAAGGAACGTGAGAGGATTGTGAATCGTTCGGTTGATGGTAGTGAGAAAGGGGTTTTGGAGAGAGGATTTGATGTCAATGAAGGGGGTAAAGCGATAAGAAGGGAACAACATGAACCGGATTTTCAAGTTGGAGGGTCTAGTTTTCCGAGAAGAATGTCTAATTGGCCGAATGAGGAGAGAGTTGAGATGGAAGCATTTCGGAGAAACCAATCGGCTGATATGGAAAGTGTGAGATTTTCCACTTTGAATTATCCTGACGAGGGAACTTCGAGATTTTCTTATAATCACGGTGAACAATGGAGTAATTATGAAGAAATGGATGGTATGAGTAGGGTTCGGCACCTCGAGCAAGATCGAGCCGAGCTTCTAAAGAAGCTTGATGAGTTAACGAAGCAGCTGAGTAATTCTTCTGAAATGGTTAATAATCCTAAAGAAAAAGGTCAACCTGATTTAAAGACGGTTCCTCCGGATCCTCGCAGCAGCTCTGATACACGATTTCCAGACGGCCCTTCAGGGTTGAACCGGGCGACCCCGAGGCAATTCTTTGATCCTAGTAAACATGTGGCGGCTTCTCCTTATTACAATCATCATCGTGATCCATATGGTTATACAAGTGGTCATGAAATGGCCATGCACAACTTCCATCCTTCGATGCATAACCCGGGCTATATTCCCGGATATGGAGATCCGTTCGGATCACAAATGACAAGAGGTCCACATCCGTTATCCCGCCAATTTCCTCAACAATCGATGCATCCCTACTTTCCTGGCCGCTATGGTGATACCGGTCCAGATTCATATGAACAGTATGCACATAATCCTATTCCGCATCCGCCTTCTTGCTCTTGTTTTCATTGCTACAACAACAAAAGAAGAGGTTCAATGCCAGCGCCACCCGCTACGTTCCTTAACAACAGATTCCCTCATGCCGCAAATGATTCTATGTTATACCGTAACGAGATCCCAGGTGCAGTTACTCAACATGCTCAGAATAACTCTAGAACTGCTATTCCTGCTGCAAGTTCTTATGAAAAGCAAGTACATACAAGATTGGTTAGTGACATCGATTCAGAGAGGGGAGGATTTTCTGCAAGTCGTTCTCAAAATGCAATGACAGCTAATGGTAGTCAGCGGTGCCGTCCGATAGCTGGTGGTTCTCCTTTCATCACATGTCATAATTGTTTTGAACTACTGCAACTTCCTAAAAATGTACTTGTTAAGGTGAAAAGTCGTAAGCAGAAAATGCGATGCGGAGCTTGTTCTTCAGAAATAAATATTTCTATCATCAATAAGAAGCTAGTTACATCTCATACGGTAATGGAGGAAAACACTGCAAGGATTGGGGATACCTCTAACGAGGTTGTGAATAGCCGTGTATCATATTCTCATGGTCATGTGAACACAAACGGTGTTAACTTCTCGTCGGACGATTATTCTGGTTATGATTTTCAGTCACTAGATAGAGGATCGCCTGCCGTGGCTTCTGACCCAAGCTTGAACTCTAGAAAGCTGCAGGAGATGCAAAGTTTCCATTCTTCATCTCCGAGCATCTCGGAAGACGAAAATATTTCAGAAGTTATGGCTGCACCAAGTGAAACCACTAAATCCATTCAGCCATCTAAAGCCTCAGTGTCTCCTCCACCTGCCGCCGGCTCACCACTCCAAGAGTATCTTGATTATTCTAGTAACAACCATGCAGTGAATCGGTTTGGAAAAGGCAACCAAAGTGGTCGCTCAGAACAAGAGAAAGTGGCGAAACTAGAAAAGAATACATCGAGGCAAAATTCTGTGAAAGAGGTAGTGCTTGCATCTGAGATGGATGTCATCGACTATTCCAACTCCGGGATCTCACAGGATACTAGCCAAGAACACGACCGCACAAGATCTAGCAAAGGAGGTGATTCGTTTTTCGCAAACATTTTCAAGAAAGGCTCCAGGGGTTCCTCCCTAACTGACAAAAGTGATGATAGTGAAAAATGTTTTGTTACCGTTAATGGACAACCCTTATCAGATCGTGTGGTGAAGAAGGCTGAAAAGATCGCCGGTCCAATCCAGCCAGGAAATTACTGGTTAGTACACTTTATAGCCTTACGATGACATATATCTGAGTTCCCAATGGGATTAAAATCAGTTAAAGTTTTGTCAAAATTATAGTTTTTGTAAACTCAGTTAAGTTTTTATCATCTACAATATGTTTCACTAGGTATGATTCTCGGGCTGGATTTTGGGGTGTCATCGGCGGAGCGTGTCTTGGAATTATCCCGGTAAGTAATGCCACTCGAGCAGACTCTAATCGTCATGTGTTTACCTCAATCCTATAACTAAAAAATTGATTTGTCTTGCAGCCATTCATAGAAGAGTTCAATTATCCTATTCCTGATAAATGTGCCGGTGGAAACACCGATGTTTATGTAAACGGGAGAGAGCTTCACCAAAAAGACTTAGATTTGCTTTCTCGTAGAGGACTTCCAAATGAAAACGATAGATCATATATCGTTGAAATTTCCGGGAGAGTATTGGATGTAGACACAGGCGAAGAGCTAGATGGCCTCGGCAAACTTGCACCAACGTAAGTGCGTGCAGATTTAATTCATGTAGTTGACTTGCATTATAATAAGTATATTCATTTTGCATCATTTTGGTGTATATTGTAAGGAAGAGAAATTCAACTCTTTCATATAGTTGACTATATCATACCTATGACTTTCTCATCAGCTGTTACTTTCTGGTAGTTGACTTCTTGCATTATTTGTTAATGTTCTCGTCATGTAACGGCGATGTTTTGACATTTAAGATTACGCGGTTAAGGTACTTGTTTGTTAAAGTCTTTTGTTTTGACAAAATTGACAGGGTGGAGAAAGCAAAGCATGGATTTGGCATGAAAGTACCAAGATCAGCAGCTGCATAATCAAAGTGTAGAAATTTTAAAAAGAATGTGTAAAGGTTTGAGAAGATCAGAGTTGGAAAAATTAATTTGTATTGGTTGAAGAAGAAAAATCTGAATTGTTTTTCAAATCACTTGAAATTTCTTCTGTTTGTTGCATGGAAAAATCAAAATGATTGGCAGTTACATTATATTTTGTCATTTTTTTATTCTTATTTGGTGGGAAAAAATCATAAATTATTTGAGGGGAAAACAATATTTATTTATTTATCTATTTGTTTGTAAGATTATTTATTTTTCATGATTCTAACAATGTTGTATTTTTAATGTTATATAGTTCAATCATAGGCTTAGCATTCTATTATTGCAGCATCTATAGTTTTAATCAACATGGCTATCAAATTGTGTGGATTTTATTCCTTTCCGTTTAAACAACAATCCAAAACCATGTTGCTAGATAGAACTTAATGTGTGGATTTTATTTCTTTCTTTTTGGTGGTGCTTCTGGCAGGGGAATTAACATCTCACTCTTATAAATAGTCACTAAATTTCAAAAAACACGAGTTTTGCCGGAATTTTGGAGAATGTATCGGAAATTTTAAAAAAAATTCGGAGAAATAAATTTTCAGAAATTTGAGGAGTTATCGGAATTTTCGAAAAAATATTAATTTTTTGAAAAATCTTATACTTCATTTTTCAGGAAATTTTTTTTTTACACTATTAGAAATTTGCAGTTCAATATTGAAATTTCAATATATTTCGTTATTTTCAGAAAATTTATTTTTTTCAAAAAAAAAAAACTGGAAATTAAAAAAAAAAACACTAGAAATTTTGAAAAACTACTGAAAATTTGGTACTTTTGTACCACTCAATTTGTTCAGAAATATTTTTAGAATAACAGAAATTGAAAGGATGCCATATATAATTTGAGGGTAGAATGTTAATTTCTCCTTCTAGTCGTTTGAGCTATTAAGAGACACTTGGTAGCTGGATCAATAGTAGTGGGCATGAGTTTGAGTGGTGGTGGACTGGAGAGTGCAATTTTATAATTATTACAATTATCTCTTTTTGAAAAACAATTGTTTCCAATATATAAACTAATAATTTAACTCTTATTTAGCCTCATTTTTAATTTGTAAAAACAATTACATTTTAAGTTTTTATATTAAATAATTCATTTTTAGTACCAAAAAAATATAAAAATCATGATCTAAAATAATATAATTTAATAAAAAACATTGAATTAAAACAAATAAAATATTATTATTTTTAGTGTATTTTGATAGTTTTTTTTTACATGATTTTATTACTAAAATATATCAATCTAGATCGTTTTGTTTTATTACTAAAATATTAATATAATAATATAAAAAATTATTATTACAGAAAATAATAACACATGAGTTATATATTAGTCAAAAAATAATTATTAATTATTATTAGAATTATATATTAGTCAAGAAAATAATTATTATAGAAAATAATAAATAATATTTATATTTATATAAATATTAAAAAAATTATTTCTATTTATTTAATTTTGTTAAGAAATTGATGACAATTCGAATTAATTTTGGGTGAATTTAAAAATATATTTTTAAATTAAATTTTTACAAAAAAAAAATAGAATTTAGTACGTTTAGAGATGTACTCCAAATTCACTTAAAGATATTTTCAGACTTTTAGAATCACAAAAAATTGCCTAAAAATATAGCTGGTTTGATATGTTTTTCTTAAAAGGTCTAGAATTACATATTTGGACTTAATAGTTCAATTAGCGTTGCATGGGGTTGCTTTTTCCGCCGAATCGGATTGTCACTTATTGAGAAACTAGCATACCATCTCTCATTTTATACATGTCATTCTCCATTATAGACACTTTTACCAAAATATCCCTTTAAAATACTAGATTTTAAGAAATTTTCGATTTTATACCGAAAATTTTGTTGAATTTCTAATTTTTTACTGTGACATATGCACTTAATTGGAAATTTGAAATTTCCAGTACCTATCAAAAATTTGAAATTTTCAATAGTTAAGTAGAATTTCATTGCAGACATACTAGAAATTTAAAGTTTAACTGAAATTTTCGGTACTCCAGAAATTTCAAATTTCTGGTATTACGTTTTCTACCGAAAATTTGTGTAATTTCCGATATATGTGATGAGTTTTGAAAATTGTTACGAAAATTTTAAAATTTCTGGTGAATCGCAATCAGAAATTTCGAAATTTCGGTTAATCGCAACCGAAAATTTGTAGAATGCAAAGAATTCTCAGTATGCTACAAACTTCGGCACCAGAAATTTGCTAAGCGTACCAGAAATTTCGATTTTTATCCCCTTTGACCCATAATAAATTTTTTTTACAAAAGATGAAAAATTTAGAATAAATAGTAAAAGCGACCTTTTGATAATAATGAAAAATGAGGGGGTGACATGTATAATATAAAGGGTGGCATGTTAATTTCTCCACTCATTTTTATGAAACTCTAAAATACCTTTTATAATATTCGGAGAGTGAAATTCGGACGCGTCTATTTTAAATAAAATGACATTATTAGAGAGGCACCACATTTTTCCAAAACTAATTTGGATATTAATCTCAGAAAGGTGAGTTCGGATAACAAAATCTAGACTCACTCTTGGACAATTTTTAACTCATCCAAGCATGCTTATTTTATAGCTCACGGATGAAGTTGGATTTTAAAATTCGAACTAACCCTTAGGACAATAAATTATTTAACAGTAAGTTTTTTAAAAATTTAATTTTTTTTAATAAACGTTATATACAAAATATACATAAATCTTATTCAATTAAACCATACACATTTGTCATTCAATTAAAATACTATATATTAATTCAAAATGGTGGTAAGGATGTTACCTCCATACATCATTTATTATCAAATAACCAAACATTATTGTTCACAAAATACAAACCATAATATAAATTATCAAAATGTTATTATTAAAATACAAAGAAAAAGTTAACTATTGAATATATCTTATCCCCTGGTTCCTCCTCTGCCTCCGGTAATATAAGACATTTTGTGACTCAGCTGACTATTATGGTATGTACAGTGGTCGTCTTAGGAGTGTCTTCCTCAAACTTTCATTTCTCTATGTCCGCTCTCCCAATGGCAACAATACGTTGACAGATCAACAACATAGTCTGCCCTCCTCTTCTAATATCTCCCGATGAGATAACCTGTGTGAATTTCCCTATGCTTCTAGTGTCATGTAAGGAAGTGACACTCTATAAAACAATTTGGTGTAACCATATACCACACTCCATGATTAAGGAGGTGTCACACATCGTACATCCACTGAGGTCAGATGATCATAGAATGCCAGAAAGAAACAATCCTGAGAAAGAATGATAGAGGAAATGATAACACTCTCTTTGCAGGTAGCTTACAACGAAAATGGTAAATAAACGCTTCAAAATACCTATATACTCCATTTCAGGTACCTAGGACCATACGATCTATAGTGCACTTCCAACAGTGGAGATATTCATAAGAACACCTCAAAAGCACTTGAGCACTCTATAAAATAGGAATGTCGCTGTGAGCTAGTAAAGACGCGTCAGTCACTCTCATCATTACATTGTAACTTCCAAGAAAAACATTTAATGCGCTCATTCCCAAGAACAACAATGCCCCACCTAAGACAAACGCGTCTACGAATCCTATGGTCGGGTAAACAATGTGTATCAAAAACCCTTACATTGTAAAGTAGAGATAAGGGCTTAAGGCACCACTATTTCGGGCCGACTGCAAGGCCTGGAAAGCAAAGGTCCAACAACGAAGCAAGGTACCACGTGGGGGATATGTAAGCTTCGCTTTCCCGCATCACAGAGTACACCTCATAAAGATGGCATATAAATCTTTCAAGATCAATCCAATGGCTGACCATATTTCATGTTGTTCCACGCACGTGTAGTTACCAATCATCTCCCCTATTTAAAGATGAGAATGCATCACTCTTTTGGTATTTAAATTCTTTTTCATTCAAACTCTATTTATTGTTCTCTTACTAACTTGAACGTTGAAGTGCTAACCTTACAGGTCAACCTCTCTCCACCACATCAGAAATATCACAATCACAAATAATAAATTCACCCTCTCCGGTCCTCATCTAATTTCAGAGCGGAACAAATATGGAATTAAGAGTATATACACTTTTAAATGTTAGATAGGTCAGACTCTAGGTTGAGAGATAATTAGTCACTCGTCTTTAATAAACTTCACACCTCAGACATTATATTAACTCTGATGTAGAAAGTAATTTCATTGGATACAGTTCCACTATAATGAAAGATAATTATAAAAGTAGGCATGTAAAGGATGCTAGACTACTGGTAATGTCTCTATTTTAAATCTCACCATGAAAAGCCTATAAGAAATTGTGATCAAGAGATACTTTACACTTATATATTTTTAATAGATTTTAGTGTATTACTTATACCTCATATAAAGAGGGGTTCAACTCTGGAAGCTTTCAAATAACGTAACGGTCTATTGCAAATAGCACCTAAACTATAAAACTTACAAATGTAAACAGTTGAATGGAGTTCGTGTGATACTGATATTCATTAATCAAATGCACAATCGACACATAAATATATATGTCTTTGATGTTACTCAACGAGAGTAATGAAGCTTAGTTCACCTAAATAAACAAGAGCAATGTTGAACCTACATCATGAATACACTTTTAATTTTCTCTATTATATGAGAATAAATTTGTGTAATCCATTCATTTTTGTTTTTATTTTAAAGGAGTAAAACTTATGCCTACCAAATAAAAAAAAAGAATCATGAGTTCAAATATGTGCTCTAACATATTAAATATTTCTGATTCTTGCAACTTTTTACAAAAAAATTTAATCATCATTGTTTTGAATTTGTTTATTTCTATTCCAAAATTTTAATTGATTTATAAATCTAAAATATAATTCAATTTTGTGGTAAAACTTGTAATTCAAGTTTTGTGATGTTTGAATTCAGGGTAGTGGTAGCC